ACCTTGGTTGCAGTTCGGTCCCCGGCCCTGGTTGGGTCGTGCAGGAGGCAACCAGTCAATGTGTTTCTCTCATGTTGATGTTTCTCTCTCTCTCCCCCTCCCACTCTATCTGAAGGTAAAAGGAAAAAATATACTTGGGTGAGGATTTAAAAAGAAAAGGAAAATAATCAACCAACCTTTCATCCCATTTCCTCTGGGAGAAGGAAATTGCTGTAGTCCTGGGTCATAAGTCTACACAAAAGAAAGGTCTGCCACCCAGCCACCTCTGCCTGTTAGATATTGATAAAGCAGAGGCAATAGGTATCTTATCTGTGCAGCTGACATACCAAACAGCTACCATTCTCAGGCTTCACTTAATATTCTTTCCTCCACCTAATCCTATGCACCATTTTAGTTTTCGGACTACTAACTATGTAATTAGAACTACCATGGAGAATCACCTTGCTCTGCTGAATACAAATACCATAACAGTTTCTGAGCCAAGGCAGAAGCACCCAATAACAGCAGCTGGAGAAAAGGGAGCATAAGGTAGGAATGTGACAAACATCCTCCAAGCAGATCCCCTTCTGGCCTCTCACTTCCCACTAGGTATTTGAAACTTGTCTGGGGAAGCCTTGTCCCAGATTCAGGATTAGGTCACTGGAACCTTCTAGCATCAGTCCCTCAGGTCCCCTCATCTCCATTATATCATTTTTAGGAGATGCTGCAATCTGAGTCACTCAACAGAATAAGGAATGTTTCATCTCAAATCAGAAAAGCAAAGTCAGGTAAAACTGCAGGGGTTCCCTAAGAACCTGATATCTATGTCCCAGACCAGGAGGAACCTGAATAAAGTCTTTGAAATCTACAACAGCTTAGGTGGTGTTGGTGAAGAAGAGGGACCAATCTCTTCTTGCAAAGGTGACAGGCCTCACATCACACAGGCTGTGTACATACCTTCCCTTTAAGTCTCTCCCCATAATTTTTATTTTTTATTTTATTGACTTTAGAGAGAGAGAGGAAGGGAGAGGGAAAGAGAGCTAGAAACATCAATGAGAGAGAACATTGATTGGCCACCTCCTGCATGCCCCTCACTGAGGATTTGGCCCACAACTTGGGCATGTGCCCCGACCAGGAATCAAACTGGTAACCCCTTGGTGCATGGGTCAACACTCAATCACCAAGCCACACCAACCGGGCCCCAAAATTATTATTATTTTTTTTTTTTTATCCTCACCCGAGGACATTTTTCCATTTTTTTGTACAGATAGAGTGGGAGGGAGAGAGAGGAAGGGAGAGAGAGAGAGAAACATCGACGTGAAGGGACACATCGAGTGGCTGCCACCCGCACGACCAACCAGGGCCGGGGACAAACTGCAACCGAAGTACGCGCCCTTAGCGGGAACCGAACCCGGGTCTCTCTGGACCGCAGGTCGACGCTCTAACTGCTGAGCCAAACTGGCCAGGGCCCAAAATTATTTTGTATAGTGCATCTAATTATTGAGTCACAAATCCTCTTTGGAATAAAATCAGTAAATAGGTATATAAGCCTGCCATTCTTCCTCTGTAATATCCCTCCAGTCCATTTCTTCTGCATTCTCAATACAACCACTGACATCCTGACACTTGCTGTGTGATGGGACTGATGGAATAATTTTCTAACTGGTTTCTCAGACACCAGCCTTGTCCAGCTCCTATATATCCTGTATACCTCTGCTAGACCAATTTTCCCAACCCAAAACAATTTCATCACTTCCTGTGTTTTAAGAATTTATAATTGACTAGTAAATCCAAATCCTGTTCAATCAGTCAATCAAATCTCTATTTTCTACCTAATTAGACTTTTCTCTGCCCACATAGCTAGGCTGCTTACCTTACTACCCTTCCTGTGTACTGTGTTCATCCTGGTGAAGTTACTCTAGTTTTTATAGGGGCAGTCTACCTAAGGCACTCTTCTTGTTGCTTGAAGTCCCTTTTCTCTCATAAGGAAACTCCACTCTTTCATGAATCTTCTCTAACCTCAGTAATCCTTATCTTCTGAATACCAATGGCACACTGAATGAAATGGCCTTCAAGTCAAATAATAAACAAGAGATGGGAACAACAAAGTGAGAAGACCTCTTTTCAAATCCTATTCTTATTCCTTTCCTAGGACTAGAAAAATAGAATGTAAGGACTTTGTATTTGCTGGCATCTACCTCCTGACTAGCCTGCATCCTCTAGTTTACCTGCAGGAAAAAGGGGAATGTTAACAGCCCTCTAACTGGGTAAGGCCCATAGCCTATGGAGCCATCCCAACTACTCATGTTGGAGCAATGTCAACTTTTAAATGGGACAGTAATATAAGGTGATGATTAGCTTATAGAATAATATGTGAGTCTTCATTTATGTATGATTACTAATAGCAGCAGCCAAAACATGCTGTTTTCTTCTTATAGTCATTAGTAATATCTTAGGAACACACATATGTCACAATTAAGTTCAGTTAATATTAGTAAAGAATACATCAACTAATTAGTTCTTATGCATGCAGCCAATGTACGACACTCAAGAAACCAATAAAATCTATTGTTTATGGAAAAAGAACATATTCAGAATCTTCTATTGGACCAAAAATCTCCTTTTCCCATGTGAATTTCTCTGTTATAGGGCACAGCTTATTTCATATATAGGAACTTACTAAAAACAGTAAAAGGAATTCTGGGGACTGAAGTTCACCAAGGGCTCAATACATCTTTATATCACTGATGTCTCAAAACGGGACAAGACCACAGAGGCAGCTGTGGTCCATTGAGCCCTGGGAACCAAGCACTGGTGGCAATGAATATGGTCTATGAAGGAATATGGACTGCAGTGACATTTCAGAACCATCCATAACAATGAGTCATACTTTTAGTTAATCCTCACCCAAGGATATTTTTCCATTTATTTTTATTTTTATTTTTAATTTATTTATATATTTAAAGTGAAAGAGACCACAGATTTTTATTTATTTTTGGGGTACGTGCCCCTAGTGGGAACTGAACCCAGGACTCTATGATCCGCAGGCCCACACTCCAACTGCTGAGCCAAACCGGCAAGGGCTTTCCATTGATTTTTAGATAGAGTGGAAGGGAGGGAGGGAGATGGGGAGGGAGAAACATCAATGTGAGAGACACACATCAATTGGTTGCCTCCCACGCAACCCTGACTGGGACCAGGTACATGCCCTTGACTGGGTCCAATCTGAGACCCTTTGGTCTGTGGACCCATGCTCTAACCGATGAGCCAAACTGGCCAGGGTGTATACTTTTTTAAACACACACACTCCCTTGGGAGTCTCTCCCAGGGATATGCATTTAAACTTAAAATACTACATATACTTCAGATCGCACAAAACTCATCCAGTGAATTTTTAGGGGTCCAAGCCCCCAGATTAATAACTGTTAATCTAGATTTCTACCAGATACCCATTTACTCCTACTACTGAAGAGTCTGAAGCACATCCCTTTCCATCTTCCTGCCCAGATTTAGAACTACTCAGTAGGTGGGTTATACATGTTACAGTGGTGTGCTTGGCCTGCAGTCTTGTGAGGAGTCTATAGTCCTTTAATTATTGCCTTTGTTTTTAGTTATTTCAGGGTGGGTCCACAGGACTTCAGGAGGGGGGATTATAAATAAATGTCTTCTGTTATAAGACTCCCAATGTGGGTCAGTTGGCTACAAGCATAGAGAAGACACTATACAGTCAAGTGCCCAATGGAGGAATGTGGCAGGATTGGCAGAATGTTAATCTCTCTGCAGTATCTGTAATGTCAGATTAAGGTAGCCAACTGGAAGCTGGTAGTGGCCCTTTCCTTTTCCAGGAGACAGATCTAGCCCTAAAACACTGAAACACCTACAAGGAAGGGCGGGATTGGAATAGTTCTCATCACAGAAAAACCGCTCTTCCAAGCCTGGTCCTAGGTAAAAGTGGCCATTCTATATCAAAGTCAAAGAGCAGAAGAGGACTCCTTTTGGCTGGGGTTTCATATTGCTTTTACAACTCAGTTTCATCTCATCTTTGCTCTGTCACTTTGTGGGTACCAACAGCTTTGGCCAGGTTTGAGGAAATGTTCATTATTATGATTTACTCTGACTACTCTACACAAAGATGCCAAGTAAGGATGGAGTAAAGGTCTTGGCAATTACTCTGCTTTGCACAGAAGAATGGTTGTATAGTCTACCTAGTCCCTTAGTTGCACTCATTTGTATTCCAAGCACTAAACAAAAGTGTTAAGTATCCCTTTTACAAAACTTGACTTCTGGGATCTGAAGACACAGCAAGGATTGTTTACTACTGCAGATCACTTAGGGAGCTGCCTTGAGGCTGGCCATGAACTAAAACCACAATTTTCACCGAGGATCTAAACCTCAGGTCACCTTTTATTTGTTTGGGGTGACTAAGGGGTCAAGGTGATATTAGGGGTGTAAAAAAAGATGCTGCAAGTGCCTGTGAGACCAGGTTTTATGGCAAACCAGAGCCACCACTAATTCTCCATGACGACTTCACAGGAACTGCTCAAGCATAAGCAAGGGACCCACCAATAATCAGATGTGCACTGCAGATTGCATGTGCTGAAAAGAACAGGTCATGGTCCTGCAACACAAACTTGTATACACCAAAGATCCCAGGTTGGCATTTTGGTTCATGCTTAGCAAATCACTTTCCTGCTGTGGACATCAGTACAGAGTGGGCTGACAACACTCAGATGAGCTGTCTCACCCCAAATCCAAAGCAGCTGCTCACAGATCTCTGCTGCCTCACATCTTATTCCAAACATGATGGGTAGCTTACACACCTATCCTACTTGGGGCCTCTGTGTGTGTGTGTTCCTTCTTCACCTCTATTCTGCCACTTCCACTAGGGTTGGGGTTAGCCTAAACACTTCTATCCAGAGAACAGGCAGGTGCTGTCAAATAGATCCTAAGCAAGTGATTACTTAGCCACAGCATTTAGATTAGTGTAACCGTGGGGGAAAAAGCAGGCCAAAAAAAGACGGAATTTCCAAAAGGTAAATTTCTGTGTATTCACGCCTAATCTTCCAAAACTTGTGTAAATATTTTTTTCTACCTTGCCCCATCATTTGCACAATTTTTGTCAAGTCCAAACGTAATTTAAAATGAAGTAGGTAGTTTCTCTCTACTCGTGCCTTCGTCTTTGTAGCGACTGTACTCGAAAGCACTAGTCTCCCATGTAGGGGGAGTGCCAAGGGTGGGCACCAGTGACTGGTGGAGCTTCTCAGTTGGCTATTTTCTCAATCTCATCCAAATCATCCGTGTCCAATCTTTCTATTTTCTTATCTGAGGGGGGAAAAAAAAAACATTCAAAGAGAGAGACCATCATGGGGTTACTATGGAGACACACACTTAGGGAAGGGGCTGCATAGCAGGGGGAGGAAACACACAGGTCTTGGCCCTGGCCAGGAGTGAGCCCTGCCTAAGGTCACATCCATCTTTCATTTAACCCCCAAGGCTTCTGGTGCCTGAGAAACACACACTGACAGCAACAGTCGGAACCCAGGGCCCTCAGCCTGGCCAAAGGGAAACTGTCATTTGAGTCGCTGACACTGAGCCCTCCAGGTGTGCTCTTTGAGAACTTTTATATTGTAGGGAAGGAGGGGAATGTGGGCAGGGACAAAGCCTCTCTAGGGGCCACAGGAAACCTACCCTTCCCCACCCCCAGATTTGCCCTTATAAGGAAAGGGCCCCCGGCAGAGGACACTCCAGGGACTCACTAAAATGCTCCTGGATTCTATTGAGGATGTTCATGCTGTGCTTGCTGTCGACCATGTTCACTGCCAGGCCCCTCTTGCCAAAGCGGCCAGTGCGCCCGATCCGGTGCAAGTAAGTCTCGTTGTCAGGGTTCCCATCCTTGTCCACGGGAAGGTCGAAGTTGATGACAACAGACACCTGTTCAACATCGATACCTGCATGAAGGAGAGTTGGAGAAGAGTAAGGACAGGAGACAAAAATCACTGTCACTCGTCCATTCAGGCCATGTGCACCAACTCTGGGTGGAGGGAGTCTGGGTGGGCCAGCTCTGAGATTCAGGGACAAGGGGCACATAGCAGAGCCCAGAGGAAAACCACAGGACTTTGGCAGGTGCTAACACAATTATGAAGTCAGTAAGCGATCCTCTGCTGGACACAAGTGTCTGGAGATGCAGCTGAAACACCAATGGATGCCCCGGAAGGGCACCACCGTTCTAAAACAGATGCCTGTCGTTTCCTTTCACCAAGTCAGGACTCGGGCTTCTGTGAAAGTTACCATCTGCTGAGGGAACCCCGTCTCCTAGAAAAGAATGTCACCACCAGCCCCACCGGCTCTCGCCCAAACCATCTGAGTTTTCCATAGATGAGGCTTTCTCTTGCTACCCCTAGTCTGGTAGACCAGGACAAGTTCTCTGCTCACCACGGGCACACACGTTGGTGGTCACCAGCACCTTCTCTTTGCCCTCTCGGAAGCGCTCAATCACGGCAGCCCTCTGCTCCACCATCATTTCACCACTCAGCAGAGCCACCTGATGGCCTTCTTTTGAGAGCTCTGCTGCCAGCCAACTGGCTGTTTTACGGGTCTGGAGTGAAAAGAATTGTTTTAAATGAAGATACCTGTAAAAAAAATGAAAACACCTGCAGAAAAAGTGGCTTCTTGCCGTTTATATACATGAAGATCCTGTAGCATTCAGTCAGAGGGTTAGGCTTAAATTTTTCAAATAGAATTTTAGCCACATGATTTTTTTTAGATGAATTACTTAAATGATCTTAGTGTTCATCTAGGAAGAGTGTAGTTTCAACCAAAGATTTTGATTTCTAAAATCAAAAGTCTATCTTCTTAACGTTTTGACATTATTTCAGTTATTTGGAGGTTTTTTTTTCAAGTTATCTCTAAGAAGTGGGATTCAAGAAGCTTCAGATTTTCAGTCTTCCCTTTAAAACTCATTATATTATGAGAAGAATATGTCCTAGGGCAGGTGGAAGAGATTTACTTTCTTCCTAGTCCCAAAGGGGGAACCTGGTCCTCCTCAGCACTAAGGTGGAGCTGGTTGAGAGGGAGGGGGCTGGGCAACACCTTCCCATGGAGCTCCTCCCCCGGCAAGCCTGCTGCTGCTCCTGCTGCTGCTACTCACATGGCAGAAGATCATGGCTTGAGCAATGGTGATGGCCCCGTAGAGGTTACACAAGGCCTGGAACTTCTCGTCTCTGTTATTGCACAGGACGTAATACTGCTTGATGGTGTCCAATGTCTCCTCCTCACGCTTCAGTTTGATAATGTTTGGGTCTGGGACCACTTTCTGGGCAAATTTCCATACAGAGTCTTCGAAAGTGGCAGAGAAAAGCAGCATCTGGCAGTTCCTGGGCAGCATCCTGCAAGAGAAGGCCCAGGTGTTTGGCATGACGCCAGTTTTTTTTTTTTTTTATCCTCACACGAGGACATTTTTTGCATTTATATTCAGATAGAGCGGAAGGGAAAGGCGGGGTAAGAGAGAGAAACATCAATGTGAGAGAGACATATCAACTGGTTGCCACCCACACGACTGCAACTGGGGCAGAGACAAACTGCAACTGAGGTGCGTGCCCTTAGCGGGAACTGAACCCGGGACTCTCTGGTCCGTAGGCTGATGCTCTAATCGCTGAGCCAAACTGGCCAGGGCCTGAGTTTTTCACTCGAACAGACAGAAGCACAGCCTCCCCAGGCTTGGGTGGTCTACATCCCCAGGAAGGTGACAGCGATGGAGCAGCACTGCCAGAAGCAGCGGGAGCAGACATGGAGCCGGGACAGGGTGGTGTTAGATTTCCTACATCTTTTTCCTCAAGCCAGGCTGGGAGTATGGTCAGTGCTGACATGGCCCATCAAACATATGCTTCTGAAGGTTCTGAAGCAAAGAACCCAGCAAGAGAGAGAAGAGGAGTTGGATATAACAAGAGGAGACACAGAGATTTTTTATTTTATTTATTTTTTTCTTTATTGATTTTAGAGAATGAGTAAGGGAGGACAGAGATAGAAACATTGATGAGAGAGAACATCAATTGGCCACTTCCTGCATGCCCCCACTGGGGATCGGGCCCACAACATGGGCATGTGCCTTGACTGGGAATTGAACCGATGACCTGTTGGTGCATGGACTGATGCTCAACCACTAAGCCACACTGGCTGGGTGAGATGTTTACTTGTAGATCAGGAGAAGTTCCTCTTGGATCCACAGTCCTACCTTTGGATGCGGATGCTCTGATCTTGGTGGCCCTGAGTAGCTATCATCACATCAGCCTCATCCAGAACAAACACCTTGATCTTCTTGGGGTCAATGAACTTGAGCTTGGAGCACCAGTCCAGAACAGTTCCAGGGGTGCCAATGACAATGTGCTCACTGATCTTCTGACCTCTTTCCACTGTTGAGACAAGATGTTTTTCATGGGTATGTCCATGGTGAAACCAGTTCTCTTCTCTGAGAAATTCTAAAGCTATCATGTATTTTATTGCAATTGTTTTGATGTTTCCATTAATCTTTTATTTTATTATTATTATTTTTTAATCCTCACCCGAGGACATTTTTCAACATTTTGTTGAGATAGAGTGGGAGGAAGAGAGAGAGAGAGAGAAACATTGATGTGAAAGGGACACATCAAGTGGCTGCCACCCACATGACCCAACCAGGGCCGGGGACAAACTGCAACCGAGGTACGTGCCCTTAGCGGGAACCGAACCCGGGTCTCTCCGGACCACAGGCCGATGATCTAACCGCTGAGCCAAACCGGCCAGGGCTCCATTAATCTTTTAAGGAAAAGTTAGATATCACTACAGTATTTAATGGAAACACAAAGAAAAAGACAATAATGCTGAAAAGATATAGTAAGGATATAAACAATGAGAAGATAAAAAAACTCTTGTTGTTATTCTTTTTCATTCTGTATTCTCTTTCAAGGATCTGTTATCTTTATTTCATCTCTGTCAACATCTTTCCCCCTAGACCAATATTGCATTTCCTCACTAGTAGACTTTTTCAAAATTCTTCTCACTCTATTGCACTTTTCCCCTCATCTCTCCCAGCATCTATATCAAACATGTCAGTTGCCTTTACATGCCCCACGCCCAGGTCAACAGTATTCATTATGAAAGGCTTTGTCTTTTCAAACACAATCTACCTCTCTTAAAGTGCTTCCCAGACTAGGCCTGGCAGACCAGGACACAGTGTGTTCTTGGGCCTGCACAATCTGAAATTGTGATTTTGGTTCTTCATTTTCAATTAGATGGTACTTACTGATTCAAATTTTAGTACTTTTCATTGTACTCTTGACCAGACATATAAAAGCTTCCTCTAGCCCTACCCAGTATGGCTCAATTGGGTGAATGTTGTTCTGTGTACCAAAAGGTCACTGGTTCAATTCCTGCTCAGGGCACACACCCAGGTTGCAGGTTTGATCCCCAGTCGGGGTGCATGTGGGAGGCAACAGATTATTGTTTCTCTGTCACATCCATGTTTCTCTCTCTCCCTCTCGATTCCTTTCTCTAAAAATCAATAAAAACATATTAAAAAAAAAAGTATCCTCTAGTCACAGCCAAAATTTATAAGCAAAAAAGTGTGTTAAAGTCAGATGTAATGGTGAAGGGAATGTGAGGGGACTATTCTAGATTGAAAAAAACTGAAGGAGATACAGTAGCCAAATGCATATACACTGACTTGATACTGGTTCAAAAACAAAAGAGCCATAAAGAAGCACTTTTGGGACAATTGGGGAAAAATGAAACTAACTGTTAGTTTTTAGAGAATCTGTTAATTTTCTTGATTGTGATAAGGGTATTGAGGATATGCTGAAGAATGTTCTCATCATGAAATGCATGCTAAAGTATTAGGAATAAAAAGCCACAATGTCTACAGTTTACTTTCATATGGTTCACCAGAAATATCTACATCCATATAAAGCAAATATGGCAAAATATTAAGTTTTTTAATCTAGGTGGGCACACGTATTCATTGTATTATTTCAACTACTGCATAAAATTTTTCAAAATGAAGTTATTAGCCTAATGAATTAGGATCACATATTCATACTCACATTTATTGCCTCGAACAGCATAAGCTAGCTTCAGTTCAGGGTAAAATTTGCCCATCTGCTCAATCACTTTTCCCGTTTGAAGGGCAAGCTCATACGTTGGGGATAGGCACAGACACTGGTAGGAGAGTGCAGAGTGAGAATTCAAGACATAGCCCTTGCAATGGAGAATCACCATCAGAATTTAGTTATTCTTCCAGCTAAGGTTGAAGGAAAGAATATATAAAGTGTACACCATTTGATTATTTTTTTTCTCCCTTTATTGATTTCAGAGAGAGAAAGGGAGAGAGAGAGAACATCGATTAGCCACCTCGTGTATGCCCCCCAATTGGGATTGGGCCCACAACCTGGGCATGTGCCCTGACCAAGAATTGAACCAGTGACCTCTTAGTGCATGGGTCGACACTCAACCACTGAGTGGCATTGGCTGGGCACCATTTGATTCTTTAAGCTGCAAAGTCATAAGGTAGAATTCTCAGGGGTCAGAAATCTAGCTGGGTAAAAACACTTAAAAACCAGCTACTGGCCAGTGGAGTACTAAAATCTACAAGTGAGCAAGAATCTGAAATTCAAATTGGAGATTAGCTTCCTTTTCACTTTCTCAGAAAGTGCTCAGCTTTCTAATGGATGAATAGTTGTAGATGAAGGAGTTTTTTATGGCAAGTAAAGGAGCCAAGCCTATCAGTAGTATCCCAGAACTGGCAAACCATGGAAAGGAACAGGATTTTTGTTGCTACTACATCAACTATGTTGTCTGTACCCAACTTAAGAGGCTCTAGTTTACATAAAAAGTAATACAAGACATGGCTTTTATTTTATTTATTGATTTTAGAGAGAGAGGAAGGGAGAGGGACAGAGAGATAAGAGACATCAATGAGAGAGAACATTGATTGGCTGCCTGCCTCCTGCATGCCTTCCACTGGAGATTTGGCCCACACCTGGGCATGTGCCCTGATCGGGAATCGAACTGGTGACCTCTTGGCTCATAGGTTGATGCTCAACCACTGAGCCACTCCGGCTGGGCAAGACATGGTTTTTGTTGTTGGTATTAATCCTCACCCAAGGATATTTTCCCATTGAATTAAAAAAAATATGTTGTTATTGATTTATTTTTATTTTATTTTATATTTTTATTTATTTTTTGGTTAATCCTCACCTGAGGATATTTTTCCATCGATTTTTTTTTTTTTAGATAGAGTGGAAGGGAGGAAGGAGGAGAGAGAGAGAGAAATAGAAACATCAATGTGAGAGACACACATCGATTGGCTGCCTCCGCATGACCCTGACCAGGACTGTGGATTGAACCTGCAACCCAGGTATGTGCCCTTGACCAAGAATCAAACCCATGACCCCATAGTCTGTAGGTCAATGCTCTGTTTAGCAAAACTGGCCAGGGCTATTTTTATTGATTTTTAGATAGAGAGGAAGGGGGAGAGAGAGAGATAGTAACATCAATGAGAGAGAAACATCGATCTGCTGCCTCTTGCACACCCCCTACTGGAGTCAAGCCCCCAACCCGGGCATGTGCCCTAACTGGGAATCAAACTGGCAAACTCCTGGTACATGGGACAATGCTCAATCCACAGAGTCACACTGGCTGGGCCCCAATGATTTTTAGATAAAGTGAAAGGGAGGGAGAGGGAAGGAGAGAGAGAAACATCGATGTGAGAGACACACATTTGTTGCCTCCTGCACGACCCTAACCAGAGCCAAGGGTTGAACCTGCAACCCAGATATGTGCCTTTGACTGAGAATTAAACCCGAGACCCTTTGGTGTGAGGGCTGATGCTCTAACTGCTGAGCCAAACTGGCCAGGGCATGGACATGGCTTTTAATCCATCAAATGGCATTTCCCTTCTAGCTATGCAATAGCAGAAAACCCAAATTCACCAAGCCCTTACCTGGGGGTATCTGTTTGCAGGTTCTACATGGCTGAGCATGGCCAACACAAAGGCAGCTGTTTTACCAGTACCAGACTGAGACTGGGCAATTAAATTCTGTGGGCTGCACAAGAAAACGAACTGTTTAGGAGCTTAAATCTCAAGTATCCTTTCAATTAATAAAAATGAAAATAAAGTTTTAAGTTAAAAAAAAAGATATCCATCTTGAAATAATATTACTACTATGACAGAACAAAGAAAACATTGGAAAATAAAGACCTAAAATATGTTTTTGGATAAACAGGAAAAGGAGTTTCAGGATTTAGGGTTTTATGCAATACAATTTTACATAATCACATATAATGTAGGGATCAATTTTTATAAATAGTTCCTCATGCTCTAGAGCAATGATTTTCAACTGGTGTGCTGCAAGAATTTTTAAAACATGCAATACCTGACTATTTAGTCAGGAGCACTGACCTCTTTTCCCTTAGGTTGTCAAATTAAAAAAATGATGATAGCCACTTGGCCTTTGTAGCTGTTGGTTGAGCATCGTGCCATGCACCAGGAGGTCTCCTGTTCGATTCCTGGTCAGGGCACATGCCCGGGTCGTGCAGTGCAGGAGGCAGCCAATTGATGTTTCTCTCTCATAGATGTTTCTCTCTCTCTCTTTCTCCCTCATCTCTTTCCTTTCTACTCTATCTGAAAATCAATGGGAAAATATCCTCAGGTGAGGATTAACAAAGAAAAACAAACAAAACATTTTTTTAGTAATTAGTTTATGTATGCCATGAGATGAAAATGGTTGAAAATCACTGCTCTAGAACCTTGTTATTCAAAAAGTGGTCTGACACCATCATCTGGAAGGTTACTAGAAATGGTGAACCTCTATCCCCACCTTAAATCTAATGAAATCAGAATTTGCATTTTAATAAATTCTTGTAAGATTCATAGGCTATGAAAGTGTGAGAAGCACGGCACTGGAAAACAACCTTAGTAATTATACCATTCTGGTCTCCTAGAACACTGTTTGGTTTTTGCCTACTATAATTGACACAATAAGTTTTATATAACAAAATAATGAAATCATGGTGTATATAAATGATATAAATGTATATTTATCAACATAGAAAGATGATCATATAAACATTTTAAAGCATATAAAGTTTTATATCCATTAAAAAATATGTAACCAAAAATAAAGCCCTGGCCGGTTACTCATTACTCGGTGGTTAGAGCATCAGCCCTGGGACTGAGTGGTCTCAAGTTTGATTCTGGTCAAGGGTATGTACCTGGGTTGTAGGTTCAATCCCTGGCCCCGGTTGGGTCATGGGAAAGGCAACTGGTTGATGTCTTTCTCTCTCTCTGTCCCTCCCTCCCCCCCTTCCCCTCCCTCTTCCTTTCTCTCCCTTCCTCTCTAAAAAATCAATGGAAAAATATCCTTGGGTGAGGATTAACAAAAATAAAAACAAAAATAATATGTATACCTATGTAAATTTATATAGGAAAAAAAGTCTGCTCTGGTGTGGCTCAGTTGGTTAGAGCCCCATCTCGTGCACCAAAGAGCTGGGGTTCGATTCCCAGTCAGGGCACATATCCAGGTTTCGGGTTTGATCCCTAGTTGGGGTATATGCAGAAGGCAACAGATTGATGTTTCTTTCCTATATTGATGTTTCTCTCTCTCCACCTCTCTCTCTCTAAGGAAAGAAAGAAAAAGTCTAGAAGTCTCTACTCCAAATATTAACAATATGTGGGGGATGGAGATTACAAATTATTTTTTCTTATTTTTTATTGCTTTTTAACTTTTCTAAAATGAGCATGTATTACTAGTACAGTTTTTGAAAACAATATAGGGTTATGTCAGGACACATACGGCTCAGCAAGCATCAACGGCAATGCATTTTCTTGTATCTTGGATGGACGGTTGAAGCCCATGGCATAGACTCCCTGGAGAAGCTGTGGTTTCCTAGTAAAACAGTTAATGATGCAAGTCAGTCTCTTTGGTTGAGGAAAGAAGCCAAATATATCGGGAATTTTTTTTCTCTTTTTAACTGCTGTTACCCACAGCTTATTACTAATAATACTTGAATTGTGCTGAACTGAGCCCAATGTGTAAATGCAGATAAAAAAAATTTTTTAGAGATTATCTAGAAATTTTACTTAATATCTTAAAGCAGCTAAATTTTTTTAACTAAACTTATGTTAGCTAAAAATGTCCTACTGTGATAAAAAAATATATATAACAGGCCTAGGATCTCTATTTAAACACTAAGGGGAGAGTAAGAAAGCAAATACTCACAACCTAAGCTCCTCAAAAGACTTCACTGAGTAGAGGGGGGAGTTTGGATCCCGTTGCAGGACTTCCACTTGGTTTGTGTTATCCACAAGGTTGCTTCTGATGAGCTTGTTGAGTAAGGACTGGGCAGCTCTGTCTTCTGTCAGGAAAAAGACAGCAAAGCAAAGAATTTTAAAAGTCCATGAAATCTACCATGAGCTCATCTGAATTTAATTGCCATTGGTATTTTTTGTTTTAAATCTTTATTGTTGAATGTAAAATGTATTACAGATGTTCCACATTTTCCCCCCATTGACCCCTTCCTCCCCACTCCTGCCCCCCTCCCGCCTTTTCCCACACTATTGTCTGTGTCCATTGGTTATGCACATAAGTTCTTTGGTTTATTTCTTCCCACCCCCCCAACCCCTTTTTCCCTTTCAGGTTTGTCAGTCTAGCAATGAATTTGTACTTCTTAATCCTTTCACCTTTTTCACCCATTCCCCCAACTCCCCTCCCATCTGGCAACCAACAAAATGTTCTCTCTATCTATGAGAATTTTCCTGTTCTGCATGTTCATTTTGTTTGTAGATTCCATTGTCGATAGATATGTATTATTGCCATTTTGTTTGTTCATATATTTTATCTTTTTCTTCAAAAAGACCCTTCAACATTTCACATAATAACAGTTTGGTGGTGATGAACTCCTTTAATTTTTTCTTGTCTGGGAAACTCTTTATATGGCCATCGATTCTAAATGACAGCTTTGCAGGATAGAGTAATCTTGGTTGTAGGTTCTTGCTTTTCATCACTCTGAATATTTCTTGCCACTCCCTTCTGGCCTGCAAAGTTTCTTTTGAGAAATCGGCTGACAGTCGTATGGGAACTCCCTTGTAGGTAACTATCTGCCTTTCTCTTGCTGCTTTTAAGATTCTCTCTTTGTCTTGAACCGTTTGCATTTTGATGATGATGTTTTGGTGTGGGCCTCTTGGGGTTCATCTTGTTTGGGACTCTCTGTGCTTCCTGGACTTGTATGTCTGTTTCCTTCACCAAGTTAGGAAAGTTTTCTGCCATGATTGTTTCAAACAGGTTTTCGATTTCTTGTTCTCGCTCTTCTCCTTCTGGCACCCCCAAAATGCGAGTGTTGGCACGCTTGAAGTTGTCCCAGAGGCTCCTTATACTATCCTCCGTTTTTTGGATTCTTTTTTCTTTTTGCTGTTCTGATTGGGCATTTTTTGCTTCCTTATATTCCAAATCGATGGTTTGCTTCTTGAATTTATGTACTCTACTATTGAAGCTGTGCAAATTATTCTTTATTTCAGTTAATGCCTCCTTCAATTCTGACTGTGCATCCATGATTTCTGACTGGTCTTTTTTTATGTTCTTGACGCCCTCACTAACATCATTGAGCATCCTTATAAGCAGTGTTTTGAACTCAGCATCTGTTAGGTTGCTTATCTCCATTTTGCTTAGTTCTTTTCTTGGGGTTTTGTTCTGTTCTTTCATTTGGGACCTGTTTCTGTGTCTCCTCATTTTGGCTGCCTCCCTGTGTTTGTTTCTGTGTATTACTTAACGAGAGGTATGGGGCTAGCTGAGACCAGATGCTGCTCGTTTGAAAGAATTTAGGAAAACCTGAAGCAGGATCCAAGACAGGCCAATCCTATGGTTAAGGAAGTGGCAACAGCTTGGGTGGGCCTGAAAGTTGGGTGGGGCAGGGCCTCAGGGAGTCACTAGGGCGGGGCTATCAGTGTGAACCAGGTTGCTGGAGTCCCAGATATGGGGGCTGTCTGCTGCCCCAGGGAAGGGCTCACCAAAGGAACAAAGGCCTCTTACAGCATGTCTGTCCTGGAGAAAGCCCCCTCTCCAGCCCTTGCTCCAGTGCCAAACAGTTCAGTTCTTCCCTGTATGTCTCTGGTGCCCCTTGAGCTGCCTCCCCTCCAAGCTTAGAGGGAGAGAGTCCAATAAGTCCTTGCGCGGGCCCTTTAAAGAGCTGCCTGGGGCTCCAGCCGCATCAGCCTGGCTGAGCCTCAGTTCCCGCTGGTTTTTACAGCGAGAAGTTATGGGGACTTCTCTTCCTGGCACTGGAACCCTGAGCGGGGCACCTGGTGTGGGACGGGGACCCCTCAGTCCTCAGGAAGGACCTTCCCAGCCGAGGTGCCCTCCTGATTTTTATCCGCCACACGTGGGTGTGGGACCAGCCCGTGGAGCCATCGCCGCCGCTGCTACCCCTCCTACCAGTCTGGATGTGGCTGCTTCTTTAATTCCATAGTTGTAGGACTTCCATTCAGCTTGATTTCAGGCGGTTTTGAATCATGGTTGTTCTGCAGTTTAGTTGTAACTTTGATGTGGTTGTGGGAGGACGCGATACTGCGTTTACCTACGCCACCATCTTGACCGGAAATCGCCATTGGTATCTTAAGCAGTAATATTTGTACTGAGACTTCTAATTCAAGCTATACCATAGTTTTGACTTAGAATTAGTTCATTTTATTAAAGAGAAAGGTTATGATATCTGTATCATCTATTTGGGCTTCATTATTCTTCTTCAGAACTCTATTCCTAACAGCTGTCCTTTCTTGAGGTTATCTATTCCTCCTATCTAGACTGAAATATTTACTCCCCAATTTGCTCTTAATATAAACTTGAAATGATTAACTTAATATATCACAACAATGACAAAAAACAGAAATTAAAGTCTTCATCTTGATATCATATAAGTTGGTTGCATCTTGTTAACTGTGTTAAATGTGTCAAAATATTATTAAGTTTATTAGACAATGGGGATGCAACTTAAAATCTCTTTAATAGTGCCCTGTAAAAAATAATCATTCAGGGAATATTTCCTGCTGCTGCTGAAGTTCATCAGTTGTTCAAAGTAAAATTTCCCTAAAATGTAAACAATCAGAATTCCTTCACCAACAACTGTATTGAACTTTAGCACTGTAACCCCTATAAAGTCAAGCCAAGTTAAATGTAAAAATGAAGGCTCTTAACAATTCATTCTCTTAAACTGTAGAATTTTAGTATATAGCTCTCAGGCTGTTACCTTTCTCTTCTTCATCTGTCTTCTCTGCATTAGCATTGGTCTTGACAACAGCACCTTTATCAGACACAAAGTGGCTGTCATTCAAAATCACATCCCATACCCAACAGCTGAGACAATTCAAATTCTACGAGACACTAGAAATGCAAAGGCCTGAGGAGCAAAAAAAACAATGAGGAAACCAAGCCACAGATAAAAACATGTTACTATTCTAAATAAATAAAGGTATGAAAAATTATGGCATATATTTTAATCCTTTCCTATTCCGAATCCTCTCACCATACCTCAAAAACTAATGTTAATTTCCCTCAGAGTATCAATGTTTATGAAATGTTATAGAAAGATTATTACAGAAGTCAATGATCAGAAATCACCCTGATGCTCAACACCTGTGCAAATAATCTTTCATTAATATATGAATCAATAATGCCATTAAAAGTCCATGTACAGCCCTGGCTGGTGTTTCTCAGTAGTTAGCGCATCGGCCTTCAGACCAAAGGTTTCAGGCTCAATTCCTGGTCAAGGGCACATACCTGGGTTGCAGGTTTGATCCCTGCCCCTGATCGGGGTGCATGTGGAAGGCAACCTATCAATCTCTCTCTTTGCCCCCCACTCCCCTTCCTCTCTTCTACTCTCTCTAAAAAAAAAAAAAAAAAAAAAATCCACAGATGAGGATTCACACACACACACGTGCGCGCCTATGTACAGCCCTGGCCAGTTTGCTCAGCGGTTAGAGCATTGGCCTGTGGACTGAAGGGTCTTGGGTTCAATTCCTAGTCAAGGGCACACACCTGGGTTCCAGGTTGGATTCCAGGCCCTGGTCGGGGTCATGTGGGAGGCAACTAATCGATGTGTCTCTCTCACATTGATGTTTCTCTCACTCTCTCCCGCTCCCTTCCTTTCACTCTAAAAATCAATGGAAAACATCCTGGGTGAGGATTGTTAAAAAAAAGTCTATGTACATAAATTGTTGATTAATAGAAATGTATATTCACAATGTTGTAGTTATGTAAAAATATACAGAAAACAGACTGTAAGTGAATTCAGTGAGTTACAATTTCCCCCTATAATGTTAAGTACATCAACAGAAATTTAATGGAAATCTCAGATTTTTGGTACATGATTTCAGAATAATTATAATAGGTTAACTCTCAGATTGCTCATACTTTGTCTAGTTCATATCAAATTGAGGATTATTTTTAAAAACAACTAATAATATTTGGCAGTACAGTCTCATGGTTAGTAATTTAATAATTATAAGCCAATTAGGCGTCCTCATGATTACAGTAAACACAATATAAAATAATACAATCCAGTTTGTTTACTTCCAAATCAAATGACTGCCATTACCTGCCACCGTGCCCTGTCTGGTCACATATATAATATTTTTCCAGACAGTTATGTAAAAACAGAAATACTAAAGTAAATCACATTTGTTTTCAAACTGGCTTTCAGTTACTCACCATTAGCATCTGGTTTGGTTTTCTCTTCTTTAAGATGCAAGTTGCTCAACTAAATGGAGAATATGGGGGGGAGGGAAAGTGTCAGGAAAATCACTTAAAAGATTTTGAATCAACAGAGCCTCCCCAAAAAAGCAGGGGAGACATTAGCTACTCTCAAGACCTATTCATTAGATTATTCATTAGATTGTTCTGCTAGGCTCCATTTGTAATCCCTAATTATAATCCCTAGAGAGAATTATAATTTATGAATTTGCTTAATTCTCTGATTACAAAGACCTCTCAATAGAATATAATTTGAGTTGTCATGCTCTCATATTCCAAACAAGAGAAAATTTAAAGAAATGTTGGAAGATGCATCTGTAAGTAGGAATCAATTATGTTACGTGATATGTTTGAGCCACAGGACCACAGTATACCAATATGCAGCCTCACTCACATTCAGGTCGCCTTGTGCTGGATGTCTGATATTTTAAACTTGGAACAACTTGGAGAATTGTGGCACGCTGTGTAATCAAAATACCCAGCAGGCTGAAGTGGGAATAGATAGGAAGGGACAGAACAAAGAGACATTTCAGCATTATCAGGACTTTGATCAAACACTGTAAATTAGGGATATCCTGGCAGGATTTATCTCCCCTATCAGACTGAAAATACCCTTTTAATTGTCAATCTTACCTCAATAAAGCTGGGGGTGGGGGAAGAAAAGAAAATACCTTAATGACAGGAGATATATATATTTTTTATTTTTATCCTCACCCGAGGACATTTTTCCATTTTTTGTTCAGATAGAGTGGGAGGGAGAGAGAGAGAGAGAAACATCGATGTGAAAGGACACATCGAGTGGCTGCCTGCCACACAACTCAACCAGGGCTGGGGACGAATTGCAACCAAGGTACATGCCCTTAGCGGGAACCGAATCTGGGTCTCTCTGGATCGCAGGCCAATGCTCTAACCAGCCAGGGCAGTATTTTTATTTTTAATTGATCTTTAAATGTGGCACAAAGCAGGTACTATAATCTTAAAATACTAAGTGGTGCCAAAGACAATCTCGTGCAGCATAAAAGTATGAAAATCATAATAAATGGGTATCTCTGAAAACATCACCTACATAGGTTCTTTTTTTTAATCCTTGCCCGAGGATATTTTTCCATTTATCTTCAGTTAGAGTGAGAGGTGGGGGAAGAGAGAGAGAGAGAGAAATATCAATGTGAGATGTTTGGTTGCCATCAACTGGTTGCCTCCCACACAACCCCAACCAGGGCTAGGGATGAACCGAAACTGAGGTACGTGCCCTTGGCCACAATCGAACCTGAGACTCTTTGGTCATTAGGCCAATGCTCTAACCGCTGAGCAAAACCAGTCAGGGTTCTTTTTTTAAAATATGTTTTTAGAGAGAGAGGAAGGGAGAGAAACATTGATATGAGAGAGGTACACCTATCGGCTGCCTCCAGCACACCCCCGACTGGGGATCAAGCCCGAAACCCAGGCATATGCCCTGACAGAGAATGGAACCGGGACCTCTCAGTCCATGGGACAATGCTCAATCCACTGAGCCACACCGGCTAAGCCCACAAAGTTCTTTATGTCTTGAGGTTCATTTCTGTCTTTCCTGTAAGTCCCAGAATAGGAAAAGAAGAGGAAGGAATGAAAAAGTTTGTTTTAATGGGTAACTGCTTAGTTAGGAATAGAAGACCTTCTACTGATGGAAATTGAAAAGTGGGTTTCTGGTGTCTCTGTCTGCTTTGTTGTTGTGGGGAATAAATAGATTAATAGAGAGACTGGCAAGAAAGGAAATTAACAACAAAATCATCTTAAAGCAGTAAAAATAATCAAATTCTGAAGAATAAAGAACACACTAACATCACGAATATGAAGCAACCAACAGAGGATATAAGTAGTTTAAGCGTTCAATATATTTTCTAAAACATCAGTGTTCATTATATTAACTAAAGCATTTCTCCTCCACATCCTGCCAATGAACCTCGTTTAAATTTAGTAATATTCAGGGCTGTTAAAAAAAGAGACGGACTGACTGATTTATTGGCAGTATTTACAAGAGTAAGGTAATGGCCCTGAGCATTGTGGCTCAGTTGGTTGAGTGTCATCCCATGCACTTCAAAAAGTTGCCAGTTCGACTCCCAGTCAGGGCACATGCCTGTGTTATGGGCTCAATCCCTGGTAGGGAGTGTGCAGAAGGCACCCAATTAATGTTTTGCTCTCACATCGATGTTTCTCTCTTTCTCTCCATCTCCCTTCCTCTCTCTCTAAAAATCAATTGAAAAAAAAAATTTTTTTTTAAATAAGAAGATCCCTGGCCATTTTGGCTCAGCAGTTAGAGCATCGGCCTGCGAACCAGAGACCCGGGTTTGGTTCCCACTAGGGGTGCGTTTGTCCCGGGCCCTGATTGGGGTTGTGTGGGTGGCAGCCAGTCTATGTGTCTCTCTCACATCAATGTTTCTCTCTCTCTCTCTCTCTCTCCCCCCCCTCTCCCTCCCACTCTATCTGAAGATAAATGCAAAAATGTCCTCGGGTGAGGATAAAAAAATAAAATAAAAATAAAAAAAAAGAAGAAAATCTTATTAAAAAAAAAAAGAGTAAGGTTTATAGCATTCACTCCTAGGGTCGTAAGTGTTACTTAAAATAAATGTTAGGGCTGCGGTCTAAATAAGTTAAGGAGATATAAATGGGTTAGAAGTATCCATTACTGTAAAGCATTTTAATATTCAATGGCAAGAGAACAAACCATTCTTTTGTTGATAGATTTTTCAAAATGAAGTTACAAGTAAGTAGTTAAAATAAGTAAAATACAGTGTGTAGGAGTGAGAAAAAATAAACTACAATGTGTAGGAAAAGTTGGTAGCAACAATGTAAATGAAATAAATTGATGGTTTAATACAATGTATCAAAATTCTGGAGTGGTTCCAGTACAATCTAAAAATATACTCATAAAAGCATACTAGGCCCTCATTTGGCTATAAGGATCTCAAAGCCCATAAGGCAAAAGCAGCAGGACAGTAAAGTTTGTATTATTCACTGCAGTGTGGGTTAACACTGAAACTTATGTTGAAAGCAATTAGTTCAGATACCTTCCTTTGGTCTATTTATTTGGACCAAAAATGAAAAACCAATTTTTCAGAAACCACTTTAAAATTCATAAAATTAACTAAAAGGCAAAAACAGCCCTGGCCAGTTTGGCTTAGCAGTTAGAGCGTCGGCCCGCTGACTGGAGAGGCCCAGGTTTGGTTCTAAGGGTACATACCTCGGTTGCAGTTTGTTCCTGGCCCCGATTGGGGTTGTGTGGGTGGCAGCCACTCAATGTGTCTCTCTCACATTGATGTTTCTCTCTTTCTCTCTACCCCCCTCTCCCTCCCGCTCTATCTGAAGATAAATGCAAAAATGTCTTCCGGTGTGGATAAAAATAATAATAATTTTTAAAAAGGTTAAAAAAAAAAAAGAAAAAACATCCACCTTATAATACCCACATTTTAATGTCTTTAATTAATATTTTAGTTTTTACGATATATTAAGATAATTGAGCCTGGCCGGTGTGGCTCAGTGGTTGAGTGTCGACCCATATACCAAGGGGTTGCAGTTCGATTCCCAGTTAGGGCACATGCCCAGGTTGTGGGCCCAATCCCCAGTGGGGGGCATGCAGGAGGTGGCCAATCGATGTTCTCTCTCATCAATGTTTCTATCTCTCTCCCTCTCCCTTCCTCTCTCTCTATAAAAAAAAAAAAAAAAAAAAAAAAAAGATAATTGAAATCTATGGTTATACATTGTGTTTTATTCAAAAGCTATCTGAAAAAAGACTCTTGAGAAATAAGGATGATTTAATGGTAAGTGAACTAAACTGAACAGGGAGGGCCTTAAGCAAAATGGTGAAGTAGGAGCCTTATCAGTTTTTTCATCTGTTTGCCCTCCTCTAAATTGAAAAGAAATCTCCAAAGGAACAAAGAAAAAGAAGAGCCACCGGAGAATGAGAAAACAAATATAGAATCTAATATATTTGTATCTAAAATGAATAAGAAATGAAGCTTAATGAATATTTAAAATACAGCAACCTAGCACTGTACATGTCATAGTCACCTGTGTCATGCAATGCCTGTGGGGACCCTCAATGAGAGTTCCATAAAGGCAGAGGGTAACAGAGGTGTTTTTACTTACTTGTTCGGTTTTAGAATATTGTGATCTAGTATAATTTACCTGTGCATGATTAAGTAGATTCACAAATGTTATCCAGGGTCAACTAACTTATCCATACAATCCGGACAAGTAATTTAAAAGATTCCTGCAAAGAAACTGTGAATTATAGATAATAATAATAATAGCTATCACTTATATAGCACTTATATCAGGCATGTCCATAATTCATTGAGGTAGGTACTGTGATTACCTCCATTTCACAGATGTGGAAACTGAGGCACAGAAAAGTTAAGTAGTTTGTCCAAAGTCACATAACTAGTATGTGAGGGACCTGGAATACAAATCCAAGTCTGTCTAGCTACAAAGTCTGAGGTCTTAATCTCTACACAATAGTGCTTCTCATAGATTATACTAATCTCAAAGAAAATAATGTAAGGATGATACAAAGATGCAGCTGCTTTGGAAAACAGTCTGGCAGTTCCTCAAAAGTTAAACACACAGTTACTATATAATCCAGCAATGCCACTTCTAGATATATACCCAAGAATTGAAAATATATTCACACAAAAACTTGTACATGATATGAGCATAGCAACAGTAACCATAATAGCCAAAAAGTGGAAAGAATCCAAATGTCCATCAGTGGACATGATGAGTGGATAAATAAAACATGGTATATCATCTGGCCATTGTGGCTCAGTGGTTGAGGGTTGACCCATGTACCAAGAGGTCGCCGGTTTGATTCCCAGTCAGGACACATGCCCAGTTGTGGGCCCAGTCCCCAGTGGGGGGCATGCAGGAGGCGACCAGTCCATGTTCTCTCTCATTGATGTTTCTATCTCTCTCTCTCCCTCTCACTTCCTCTCTCTCTAAAATCAATAAAGGAGCCCTGGCCGGTTTGGCTCAGCAGTTAGAGCGTTGGCCTGCAGTCCAGAGAGACCCAGGTTTGGTTCCCGCTAAGGGCATGTACCTCGGTTGCAGTTTGTCCCCGGCCCTGGATGGGTCATGTGGGTGGCAACCACTCGATGTGTCCCTTTCACGTCGATGTTTCTTTCTCTCTCTCTCTCTCTTCCTCTCTCTCCCTCCCACTCTGTCTGAACAAAAAACGAAAAAAATGTCCTTGGGTTAAGATTTAAAAAAAAAAATCATCTTAAAATCAATAAAGGAAAAGCCCTGGCCAGTTTGGCTCAGCAGTTAGAGCGCTGGCCCGCAGACCAGAGAGACCCGGGTTTGATTCCCACTAAGGGCATGTACCTCGGTTGCAGTTTGTCCCTAGCCCCGACTGGGGTTGTGTGGGTGGCAACCAGTTGATGTGTCTCTCTCACATCAATGTTTGTCTCTCTCTCTTCCTCTCATTCTCCCTCCAGCTCTATCTGAAGATAAATGCAAAAATGTCCTCAGGTGAGGATAAAAAAAATTTTTTTTAAAAGAAAAAATTTTTTTTAAAAAAACATGGTATATCTATACCCTGGAATATTTGGAAATAAAAAGGAATGAATACTAATATCTGCTGCAACACAGATGAACCTTGACAACATTATGCTAAATGAAAAAAGCTAGACACAAAAGACCACATATTGTATGATTCCATTTTATATGACATTTCCCCAGAATAGGCAAATCTAAAAAGATAGAAAGTAGATTAGTGGCTGTCTCGGGCTAAAAGGTTGGAGGGAAATGGGGAGTGATAGCTAAGGCATACAGAGTCCCTTTCTGGAGTGATAAAAAAAGTTCTAAAATTGTGGTGGCTGCACAACTCTGTGGATATACTAAAAGCCAGAGAACGAACCTTATGTTTTAAATGGATAAAATATATGGCATGTAAATACCTCAATAAAGCTATTTAATAAAAAGGTAATAGGGCCCAGCTGGTGTGGCTCAGTGGCTTGATCATTGTCCCAGACACTGAGAGGTCCTGGTTCAATTCCCAGTCAGGGAGCATGCCCGGGTTGTGGGCTCGATCCCCAACAGGGGGCGTGCAGGAGGCAGCCGATCAACATTTCTCTCTCTCAAGGATGTTTCTACCTTCCCCCCCCTTCCTGTGTCTCTAAAGAAAAAATCAATAAAAACATTTAAAAATAAAAAGTAATAGGGTAAAATCCCACCATGATGCTCTAAAAATTGGGTGCCAAGATTCAATTTTGTAAAATTTAGAGGTTTGTTGTAAGGTAAATAAAATGGTTAGTATCGATCTGCTGAAAATGATAGGAGCTAATCATATTATATCTGAATGTTCATTATCATGGGTGAATAATGAGTTTCTGTTCTTTTTTTTTTAACTCTTTTAAAAAATACGTTTTCATTTTTTTTTTTTTAGAAAGAGAGGAAGGGAGAGAAAGATAAAAACATCAGTGTGAGAAACATTGATTGGCTGCCTCCTGTATGCCCCCTATTGGGGATTGAGCCTGCAACCTTGGCATGTGCCCTGACCAGGAATTGAACTAGGACCTCTTGGTGTATGGGTCAGCACTCAACCACTGAGCCATACCAGCTGGGCAGTTTCTGTTCTATTTAAGGATAATTCTAACAATGCAAATCAAGCAAATAAGAAAATGACAAAGCTATTGACTTTTAATAAACTCTTTTAGGCATATTAATAGATTAAGAGAATGACAATGTAATCTGATCTAATAAGAAATTAGTAAAAAAATTCAAAACTATTTGAAATTATATTCATATTTATAATGACTAATAATATGTGTTTTTTTCCTACAATATGTGTATTGTACCTTGGGATATTAGTTAATGAAAGTATAAAGCCAACACAAGGAAGAGCAGTAAAACATTTTAGAACATTGTTTATCTTTATCTCAGCTTTTATTACTTTTGTATGTTTTATAATGTACATAATATATTTAGCAATATAGTACAGTATGCTCCTGGCCAGTGTGGCTCTGTGGATTGAGCACTGTTCCGTGCACTGGTTCAGTTCCCTTTCAGGGCACATGTCTGAGATGCAGGCTTGATCCCCAGTGTGGGGCATGGGAGGTAGCCGATGGTTATTTCTTTCTCATCAGTGTCTATCTTTTTTTCTTTTATTATTATTTTTTTTTATCCTCACCCGAGGACATTTTTCCATTTTTTGTTCAGATAGAGGGGGAGGGAGAGAGAGAGAGAGTAACATCGACGTGAAGGGACACATCGAGTGGCTGCTACCGGCACGACCAACCAGGGCCAGGGACAAACTGCAACCGAGGTACATGCCCTTAGCGGGAACCGAACCTGGGTCTCTCTGTACCGCAGGCCGACGCTCCAACCGCTGAGCCAAACCGGCCAGGGCTCTATCTTTTTTTCTCCCTTCCTCTTTAAGAGTCAGTAAAAACATATTTTAAAAAATAGTACACCCTGGCCGGTGTGGCTCAGTGGTTGTGGGCCAAATTCCCAGTGGGGGGGCATGTAAGAGGCAGCCAATCAGTGTTCTCTCTCATGTTTCTCTCTATTTCTCCCTCTCCCTTCTTCTCTCTCTAAAAATCAATAAAGAAAAATATCTTTTAAAAAATAGTATACAACAGTATACAATTTCTAAATAGTTATGTAAATATTGAGAATACATGTCCAAAAGTTTCTGACAGAGCCGTGTAATATACAGCTTATTTACTCAATTAACAGTGTCTGCTGGGTAGAAAATGAGAAATGCTGAGATGAATAAGCTAAGAGCCACAGCACAGGAAGGGGCTGCCATGATAAAAATGGGATCATTAAGTAGAACCAGGTAAACCGAGTGCTGAGACCTCCTCCTTCCCCTCCCACTCATCTCTGAACACTGACACTGAGTCGGACCTCTACCCTGTAGGCAGGAAATCTGAGGATACCTCTCTGTAAAATCTGGCCAGTCAGGAGGAATGCTCTGAGGACACTAAAGAGATACAGTTAAAGTCAGAATTGGCAAGCCCACTTGTGTTTAGAGTTTCCATTTATCATTTTAATTACTCACTCTTAAATATGAGTAGCTAATTAAGAATTACAGATATCTGAGAAGTCATCATGAAAAAATAATGAAATAGATAAAAGCACCTAAGGGAAAAAACCTAATTATTAATATCCTCAAAATGATGAGAGAATATTGTAGCCATGAAAACAGCACAGGATACTGTTTATAAAAAGGATCAGTAAGGGAAAAGAAAAAAGCTCTTGAAATTAAAAACATGATAGTAGAAATGAAATACAAAATAGGTTAGAAAGCAGTTGAGAAAAATCTCCCGGGAAATATAGCAAAAAGACAAAGATCGAAAATGGAAGAAAAAATATAAAATTAAAGAACTCTTTTCAACAAATGGCACTGGAACAATTAGCATGTGTGAAAAAAAAATGAACCTTGATCCACATTTCCTATTACATAAAAAAATTAATTCAAATGGATTATAGACATAAATGTAAGATCTAAATCTCTAAATTGTCAATAAGAAAAAACAGGTGAGCCCTAGCTAGTGTGGTTCAGTTGGTTGGAATGTTGTCCTATACATCCACCTAAAGGTTGTGGGTTTGATTCCCAGTCAGGGCACATACCCAGGTTGCGGGTTTGATCCCTGGTTGGGGTGCTGGCAGGAGGCAACCAATTGATGTTTCAGTCTCACACCAATGTTTCTCTCTTTCTCAAAATCAATAAAAATCATGTTCTTGGGTAAGGATTTAAAAAGAAAAAACAGGTGAAAAGCTTTGTGGCCTTGGACAAGGTATATTTCTTAGAACACAAAAAGAATTAATCATTAAAAAATCGACAAATTAGAATTAATCAAAATTGAAAATATCTTCTCTTTGAAAAATACTGTTATGAAAATAAAAGGAGCCCTGGCTGGTTTGGCTCAGGAGTTAGAGCATCAGCCTGCAGACCAATGAGTCGCGGGTTCAATTCCAGTCAAGGGCATGTACCTTGGTTGCAATTTGTCCCCAGCCCTGGTCGGGTCATGCGGGAGGCAACCAGTCGATGTGGCTCTATCACATCGATGTTTCTGTGTCTCTCTCTCCCCCTCCCTCCCACTCTATCTGATAATAAGTAGAAAAATATCCTCAGATGAGAAATAAAAAGAAAAGTTGCAATCTGGAAAAATACACAGTAGACCCCGTTAACCACAGTTTTGCTTTCGGAATTCAATTACCCACAGTCAAATGTAGTCTGAAAATATTAAATGGGAAGTTACA